GTGGGGCCTTTCACGCCTGTGTGCCGGCCCTGGTCGGGCCGGGCCGGGGCCTAGCCGGGTGGTCCGCGGCGGGCCTGCCGGCCGGGACCGGCTGGAGCTGCTGCGGTCCGCCCCTCCCCTCCGCGGCCACGGCGCGGCACCACGCGGCACTGAGGCGCACGCGTGCGGCCGCGGCTGCGGCCCCAAAGTGTGGCGCATACGGAGCCGGACGCACGCTAGGTGCAAACGCACTGCCGGGTGCGACTGGGGCCGCGCGGAGCGGAATGCGCTGCCAGTCCCAGCGCTCCCAGGCTGGAGCAGCAGTGCGCCCGCAGGTGGCTTGATTCATACCTCCGCGAGGACCTCACACGGCGCGTGGACGCGGCCACACAAACAAAAGGGTGCCACATCCGCGCGCCGGAAACCTCAAAATGTCTCTAATAGCCTTTCATGATAAAAAAAATCTACCAAACTCCGTGGGAAGTAATTTTACAACCGTCGAGATGCCGATATTATTTGGGCTCCAGAAAACACGTACAACGTTCAATCGCCAACGCCACCAGGACAGCAGGAGGGACAAGAAGCACTCGGGGGACGGTTTAATCAGGTCCAGGCTCATTATTCGAATGACGTCGTTAATTCGCTCGGGGTGGGTTATAAATGCGCGAGTGTTTGGACGTGGCTCCCAGCGGGGCCTCCCCTCCCCCAACCCTTCTCACGGCCCTGCACTCCACATCCTCCTGACCCCCGCGCATGGCGGGGCCCACCGCCTCCCACGCACAGGGGCCCCCGTCATCTTGAAACAATATTTGATTTCCTCCGAATGTCGCTCACGCTCCGGCGCGGCCGGCCACTCAGCCGGGATATGGGCTATAATTACCTCGTATTAGCTTAACGCGGACGGGCGGGCGGGAGTTTCAAACAATGCGGCCGCAAGTCAGGCTTTTTATCGAATCATCCTCATCCTCCTCAGCCTCCCCGCGCCGCCCCTGCCGTTCCCACGGCCCCCCGCCACTCGCGAGGCCCGTCGAACCCTCTTAGTCATCGAAAATTGGGAAGTAGCGCTCTATCTTTCTCCAATATTCTCGAAACAGCAAAAGGGCGGCGAGCTTTAATCGAGAACCGCGTCGAAAATGATGCTCTTCGAATGTCATTTGGGCCTTTAGTAAGGGTAAATGAGGCGCAGCTTTGAACTTCAACAGTTGCTCGCTTAGCGTGCGGTGGGCCGCGGGCTATCTCCAGTGTTGCGTGGCGAATTCCCCTCTTCCTGTCTTCATCACGCCGCGCCAGGAGTCACCACCGCGGGGGCACTATGTGCGAAGTCTGCACCTGACGATCAGCGGTGTCTCATAACAACTACTGTAGCCTGATTGTCAGTCAGAGTCCCAATCGGGGTCCCATTTACGTGAATGTAATGGTCATGTGGATCGTGTTAAGGTGAGGTGTGGGTGAAAATTTCAAAGTTGTTCAACAAAATCTTGTTTAGATGTACGAATGTTTTAAAAACTCTCTATAGTTTTGTTGGCGCTATTTTTCTTAAGATTTTAAGACTAGTTTCGTGGTGCATAAGTGATTTTTCAAATACAATTATGAATTCATCCTTTTAAAAATGACGTACGCATTGTGTCATCTACAGGTGAGCGACATGAAACTGGTCTTAAAATCTTGAGAAAAATAGCCCCCATAAAACTGTATAGTTTTTAAAATATTTGTACCTCTAAGTGTTATTTTACATAACAATTTCAAAATTTTCACCCAGACCTCACCTTCACAAACATTGTATCTTGAAAGAGCCTATGAAATTTTAAAGAATAATAATAATGTAGTTGTGAGTGAAACGTTTAAGCCAAGAAAAGTCTGTTGTGTCAATCGCATAGAACGTAAACCACTGTCCGCACCCGACAGTGTCGGTCCGGCGCCGGGGCGCGAGGTCAGGAGGCGGCGGTGCCAGCCACGCCAAGCCACGCCCTGCCCCGCCCTGCTCTTCGATTGCACTGCCACGCGGCCCACGGGACATCCCGGCACGCTGGGGCCATCAAAGTGATAAGATGATTGCCCTACCTGGTCCCCGACGGCCGGCACCGGCCTCTGCACCGCCCACCTCGAGTCTCACACCTCGAGGCGCCTCCGACTCACCTCGCCTCGACGCCGCCCCGC